GGGGCAAACAAACCCCTTTGATGCGTTTGTTATGCTCGGCTAAATTTGTTGCACGAAGTTTCGTGCATACAGAAAAACCTGTTGAATGAATGACTGAGGTGTATATACACTCTGCGCTGCCTCAGAACAACTCGACTGTCACTGGCCTGCTTCGGCGCAACCCTTTTCACGGCGAGGAGCCGCCGACACACATCCGCGTGTTGCGAGCAGAATACAGATTTTCTCATCCTTCAAAGGGTTTATTCTCAAGGGGTGAGCCTGGTGCTGCCTTTTTTTGCTGCTACACTGCCTGCTGGAGTTATCTTGTTTCGTTTCGTTGTAGCTGCGACGACAGGCTGCAAGGGGATTCACTGTGCTTGCCTTGGGCGCGTTGCGTTTGTGTTTTGTTGTGTTGTGTTGTCTCTGCACACATGTGCGTCGCTGTTTTATTTCTGAGTTTGAGTTGAGTATCGTACTTATGTTTACGCTGCCGCTGCTCTTGCTGGGTGTTGATGCGTGCGCACAGGGCCCTGGTGGGAGATAAGAAGGGGCTCGACCCAAGTGTTTGTTGGTCCAGAAGCTGTTCCGGGGGCGCAGGAGCACCTGCAGCAGCTGCTGGCAGCTCGTGAGGAGCGCAAGCGAGCTGCTGAAGCCAAGCGGCGTGCTGCAGAGGAGGCGCGGCTAAGACGGGAGGAGGCGGAGGAACTGCAGCGGCGGTTGGAGGCAGCTAAGCGTGCGGCCGAGGAGCTGAAGAAGCAGCAAGAAGAAGAGCAGCAGCGGCAACGAGAGGCCGAGGCTCGGCGACAAGAGGAAGAAGCAGAGCGCCAGAAGGCTGCAGAAGAAGAGGAGAAGAAGGCTCGAGAAAAAGCCGAGAAGGAGGCAGCAGAAGCAGCAAAGGAAGCGGCCCGCAGGGCGCAGGCGGAGGCGCAGGCGCAGGCGGAGGCCCAGGCAGAGGCAGAGAGGCAAGCGAAAGAAAAAGAAAGACAAGAAGCACTGGAGAAACAGAGGGCTGCAGAAGAAGCCAAAAGGGAAGAGGAAGAGAGACAGAGAAAGATAGCCGAGCAGCAGAAGAGAGAGCAAGAAGAGGCGAAAGCCCGCGAGGCACAGAAACAAGAAGCAGAAAGGAGACAGCAGGAGGAGCAGGAGCGGCTCAGAGCAGTGGCTCTCAGACAAGCGCAGCAGGCAGAAGAAGAAAAGAAGAGAAAAGAACGGCTGCAGCAACTCCTCGTCACCCTCACAAAACATGAACTTGGTGGCGTCCCCCTTCGGAATGCCATCCGGCTGTCAAAGACAGCGCATCACCACAGAACATCTGCAGCAACAGCAGCACCAACGCAGTAGCAGCTCACTCCTGCTGCTATTAGCTCTATATTAGTTTTAGGTCCGCTACCCTGTACTGCAGAAGCAGCAAGAGCAGTAGCAAACTGACCAACCAACAGCAAGAGCAGCACGCTGCAGCAGAAACAGCAACAGCTGCAGCAGCTGCAGCAGCAAAAGCAGTTATGTTTAGAATGGCGGGAACGTGCGCTCCACAACACAGCGCCCGCCTGTATATGTCTCTCTGCGGCGATCTGTCCTGCCATAGCACATGCGACCTCTAAGAAGCTACGATAGCTGCCTAGCCGGAGTCAGTGCAGTTGCTGCTGCTGCTTCTGCATCAGCAGCAAGGGTATACACTTGTGAGGAGTGAAGGGCGCTACAGCTAAGCTGGGTCAGAAAGACTGCTACAAGCCCTACCTAC